CTAGATAGCGCACCGCTGCTATGTTCCTAATGGCTGCCTATTTTTCAAACATAGGTAAAAGTTCATTACTTTAATTAATTTATTTCTCAGCAAATAAATAGTTTTTATAATTTTTTATAAACAAAGAAATTTTCTCAAAGTCTGAAAAATAGGATAAATCGATAAATGTTTATATGTTATGCTTACAATTAAATAAATTAAGCGTTAATATGCTTCCTAAAATCACGGATAATGTGTTATAATATCTGCCGGTTTTTTACAAAATGATTATTTCTGAAGAATTTTTTATAAACTTTTATGAAATAATAATTTTATTTGAAGTCTGTAGAATATTCTAAATGCTTAATTGTTTATAATTTATGTCTAGAAGTATTTTAATTTAATTTTTTATATGTGACCAACATATAAGCTAATAGGTGAGATAATGAGATTCACGAATGCACTGCGATAATCCATAAAAATGTACTTTCTATAGTTTTATTTGTTAACTTTTATAAATTAATACTATTGTTATAAGTCTGTAGAATATTCTGAATGCTTAATTGTTTATAATTTATGTCTAGAAGTATTTTAATTTAATTTTATATATGCTTAATAATTTTATATATCTAAAAGGCCAACATATAGGTTAATAGGTAACTGCTATAATCAATAAAAATGTACTTTCTATAATTTTTTTGTACACTTTTATAAATCTATACTATTCTTATGAGTCTGTAGAATATTCTGAGTACTTAAAAGTTTATAAATAATGTTTAGAAGTATTTAAAATTAATATTTTAATAAATAATTATTGTCCTTGAGACTGGGCGTCTACTAAGAGCTGGTTGGTTGGTAACCAACCAATGAGCGCTCTTGATTTGGGACCTCCTACTCTACTCGAATACTTCCTGATACCTCTTTTATCTTCATGTGCTCCTGCTACTAATCTTGAATTTTTGTGACGGGAGGAAAACGATTGAATCCACCGGGATCATATGATTTCCATTGAAAATTGAAAAAACGTCAAAATTCTGACTGGAGGGTGGCATGTAAATGCTTTTCGCAATATATATAGATATATTTAATATATGGATAGATGTATTAATTAATGTTTTTCAAAGTTATTTAATATTGTTTATTAATTTTTATAGTGTTTTTTAATATTATTTCTAAAGATTTATAAAAAAAAATGTGAAATACTTAAATGATAAAAAATTGTTACAAAAAATTTGTTGTTGTTGTTGTTAACATATTTTACTTTGACAATAATTTAATAATTATTTTTGCATATAGTAATTAGTTTTTATTATTTATTATAGTTAGTATTTTATATAGGAAAATTTTTATAAGATGAGTTTTTTTTCTTTTATTGACAAACGTTGTTTTCGACATTTTTAAATTGTGTATGATATTAAAGTGTAAATAGGTGAAAGTACAGTTCTTTAGTTGCGAGTTCATTCGCTTATTTGTGCAGTTATTAATAAATATTCACTGGATATTAATAACAACATGCTGATGCTAGAAAATGTTTCAAGTGTGATGTCAGCGTTCATTTTTGAATACAACACATAGAATTCTAATGTAGTTAGTTTCTCTACACTCAAATGTGGATTATTGTGAAAAGCAGCATGGTTGCTGTACGTTTGAAATACACGTCACCATTTCGTGATATCTTTTATTTGATAACAGTGATTTAAAGTACTGATATAGAAAACAAGTGCTTAAGAGTATTATATTACAAAGATGTTATCGTGAATGAAAATAATATTGAAAATTGTACATCATTAGTGAGACATATTTCCTAACCTATAATCAAGCTGTTAGCTTTTGTACAACAAATATTCAGTTTTGATGTTATTATCAAAAGTGTCAAGTGTGTTATATTAAAAAATATGTGTTGTAAAAAGATTTTATTTAATTTATACATCAAATATAATACAACTTTAATGTTGTAATAATTACTACATTATTATTTATTGGACAACTTGTCAAGCAGCTATTTTTCTGAAATCTATTTCAATGAGAATATTTTGACTGAAGGATTTATATTGTAATTAAAATTAACAATGGGACCAAATAACGAAGATCAAGTTCCAAATAGAGATCCTAACGATGAAAGAAATGTTGATTGGTCTAGGTATGGTTTACATAATACAGAAATGCAAAGAAATCAACCAAGAAATAATGGAAGTTATGAAGAATTTGGTTCAGAAATGTATCAAACTGGAGCAAATGAATTGTTTGCTCAAGAATATGTGAGTATTTTATATTTATAATTATTTAACAATGTAATAATATAACAATGTAAATTTCATTTTGTAATAATATTATTTCAGAGTTCTGATCCATGGTGGAAATCGAACTTTTTCATATCACAACCTGTATTGTTTGGTACTTGGGATGGTGTTTTTACATCTTGTCTTATCAATATTTTTGGAGTTATTGTATTTTTAAGATCTGGTTGGATAGTTGGTCAAGCTGGAGCATTGAATGCAGTATTGATCATATTCTCAACAGGTAATAATGTAAATAACCATTTTTACGTTGTATATCATACTACAGCCTTCTATTTACAGTTAGCATTGCACTAGTAACCGTATTATCTGCAGTGGGTATATGTGAACGATGTAGAGTAGAAAGTGGAGGTGTCTACTTCTTGTTATCTCACGTATTAGGATCAAGATTTGGTGGATCCATTGGTCTTCTGTATTGTTTTGGACAGGTTAGAAATAGTTTATACAATAGTTTATTCAAAAATGGAATAGAAAATTGATCATTCATTTTATTTCAGGCTGTAGGTTGTGCTCTAAACGTTCTAGGATTTGGTGAATCTATGGCAGGTTTATTTGGTTTGGATACTGCTTGGGCACAGAGAAGTTTTGCTTGTGCTGCTGTTATTTTGTTATCTGTGATTAATGTAGCAGGTGTTAAGTGGGTTATTAAATTGCAATTTGTACTTCTTTTGATATTGCTTCTTGCTGGAATGGATTTCATGGTTGGTAGTTTTACACATGAAAATCCTGGTAAGATTATATGTCAAGTGTTATGATGTTTATATTTATTTGACACAGATAATTTATATTTAATTCATTTGATTAACAGATGCTGGATTTGAAGGATGGTTGTCTGGGAATTTAAGAAACAATACTTTTCCTGATTATCAAGGTGGTTACAGTTGGTTCACAGTTTTTGGTGTCTTTTTCCCAACAGTTACTGGTGTTTTAGCTGGTATTAATATGAGTGGTGATTTGAGACATCCATCAACTGATATACCACATGGTACATTGGCAGCTTTAGGAACTGGGTAAGAATTGTTAACAATGTGATAAATATAATATATAATGAATATTAAATCAAATAATATATAAATGGATCAACTTTCAGAACAGTACTATATCTTTGTTTCTCGCTATTCTTGGCAGCAACTTGTACTAGGGATGCACTTCTTACAAATTTCATGATTGCATCAAAGGTTTCTGCATTATCAGTACCTCTTCTGGCTGGTCTTTATGTGTCTTCGTTTAGTAGTTGTTTAGGTGCAATGTATGGTACACCACGTGTACTTCAGTCTATTGCTAGTCAAAATGTTATTCCAGGAATAAATTGTTTACAAAGAGGAGTAAGTTAAATGTTGCTATAATGTTTTATACAAGATTTGTTTAAATAGAAATGATAATAAATTAATTGTACAAATGATTTTTTTTTTTTAGAGAGGACCAAATAAGGTGCCTATTTATGCTATGTTGGTTGTAGCTGCAGTTACATTGACCTTTATCATTACTGGTAGGATTAATACTCTTGCACCTATTGTAACCATGCCATTTCTTTTAACATATGCGTGTCTGGATTATGCTTACTTTGCACTTGCTCAAACTTTTGATATTCGACATATGAGAGAGCAAAGATTTAGGACACAGTCTCCAACGTTTGATCGCAATTATGGTTCCGCTAGTAGAGATAATTCTATAACGGAAATAGACAATGATTTAGATAGTTTATTTCCTGAGAGAATAAGACATAAGAATTTGGTGAGTCTATGTTTGTTTATTTACAAATACGTATGATTAACTTGATAAATAACAAAATGTTTTATTACAGAGAAGCTCCAGCATTTCTGAAAATAATGGATTTGTGGATTCATCGCCAAGTTTAGAAGAAAACAATGCAAGTTCTGTCGAACGTAAAGTTCATATTCATAATAAATTAGGAAATTGGTATAGTCCTTTATGTAATAGATGGTTTTCACTTTTGGGTGTAAGTAGTACATTAACAAATATATATATCAAATAAATTATAAAACATGATATATTAGTTTTACATGAATTTTACAGTGTTTGGTGAAATTATTCATAATGTTTTTGGTTCATTGGGGATATGCTATTGCAAACATTGTCGTTGTTTTTCTTGTATGGAGTTATGTAGGTCATGCTAATCCTGCTGTAAAGCCTGGAATTTCAGCTGAGTTTCAATTCTTCAAATGGTTAAAAACTGCTTTGTTAAGACTCATGGGGTAATTGAAATATTTCTAATTAATTAATAATATTTCGTATTTTATAAATATGTTTCTCTTCGTTATAGGAGAAAGGTTTATGATTATGAACAAATTGTTGTAACACCTATACCACCAGATGTTGAAGTTTGTTCTGCACAATTGAACGAGGAAAACGAGGATTTTGCTGGAAGGCGACGATATCATCAAACTGCTACAGTTACAGGTCAATACGTAAACGTTGATTAGTGGAATTTTCTGTGGACATTTTCTATTATTCAATAAGCATAATTAAAACCTACAATCTTATCTCAACGTTACAAAGAGATTTTTAATATATACATAATTTTTGTTTAATGTGTACAATCAAAATCTACTGTATAAGATCAGAAATCTGTGTTATAATATCTGCATCGTATATATGTATAAATTGACGTTACTTTTCTCAGTTTTATTTTTATCATCGTGTTTCGTGTTAAATGCATACACATATTACACAAAAGCTAATCTAATGAAAATATATATTTGTGTATTAAAATGCGTAAAACGCATTTGTTCGTTGATTAGTCTTACTTACTTTGGTGAGAAAATGTTAGTAAACAAAAAGTATCATTTTTATGAATAATTTGACAAGAGTATATAAAAATAATGTAAGGTTTGGGAAATGGAGAAAGGAATGGGAAAGCTTTTGATTGAAATTACAAGAAATATTGAAATATAAATAACAATTTGAATAAAATAATTTAATTAATCACTTAATATAAATTTAGTCTAATTGTAAGATTAACAAACAAAAAATTGTTATGATACTCAAAATGTGAGATGCTATCAATAACTGAGGACATATAACTAATATTGTATTTGTAATAGCTTAGAATGAATTACACGCACAAAGGATATACATATGTGATGCTGCCAGGATTATTGATGCATTTATAATGAATCATAAATAATGTTTCCGTCTTTCGATATGAATTGTTTTAGAATTAATTCCAGCTTTAGAATGAGATTATATATTTATTCTTTTATATTAAATATAAAAGATCATAATTATCGTTAATCATAAATTAGAAAATCGTTTGTATTATAGGACAGGGGGTCGGCAATCTGCGGCTCGCGAGCCACATGCGGCTCTTTAGTTAAAAGAGTTTAGTAAAAAGAAAAAACAACACATTTTAAAAAAAAATCGGTTCTGAATCGATTAACGAGAATTAAGCACCGTTAAGCACCGATGAATAATTGTGAAAAATTTTGTGGCTCTTTAAAAACTTCGAAATTTTGTTAATTGTAATTTTTGGCTCTTCCAACTCAAAAGGTTGCCGACCCCTGGTATAGGAGCAAACGTAAAAAGAAAAAACAATAAAAAAATTGTAATAAGTACTGAAATAAGAGTACTCTGTGTAAATAATAATTAATAATAATAATAATATGTTTATATATTATTTAACATTTTTATAAATGTCAGAAGAGAGTGATAAAAGATACAATCAAGATAAATACATTTGAAGAGAAAACAAAATATCAATGAATGTTTCTCCAACATATCTATCCTATATTAATTATTAAATATTTATTTATCGTGTTAATTTATTTTTTTATTTTAATTAATGTAGATAAATATTTTTTTTTTCTGTTTCTTTTTAATTAATTGGCTTTTCGAGATGAAATAATATTTCAATATATATATATATAATATATAAAATATTTATTTATATGAACTTTTCTTATTGTTTTTAATTTAAAAGTTAATTCTAAAATATTTCCCACGTATTTCTGGGCCACCATATATATATATATATATATGTGCAGCTTATCCAGTTGCATCATATCACGTTATCGGATTTATCTCGTCGATGTATTTCAAATGGAATTACACGTTGTTGCACACAATAGTTGGAATTACTTGATAAAAAGAAGAAGAATAAAAAAAAGAAAAAAAAAATATTGGATTATTAACATTCGTTGATTAAAATAAAATAAAATTTCTAAAATAAATTGGAAGTAATAAAAATGCATGTACGTAGGAGAGAGAGAGAGAGAGAGAGAGAGAGAGAGAGAGAGAGAGAGAGAGAATATAATTGTAAAGCGAGACGTAAAACATGACAAGATATCTAACAGTATAATTAAAGGAAAAAGACAAAAGAGTCTTGAAGAGATTGCAGTATGTTGAACAAGTGCACTTAAAGTACACATGTTGATATTTGCCGGTACTAATTATTTCGCATTCTGATGCCATAAAGCATTTTAACACAATCATATAAGAGTCTCGTGTATATGAGAGGGTTAACCACCTCGGGCAACCACGAGATCAACTCCCTACCTTGGGAGCTTTCGATGCATTTACCGACAGAAACTCATACACGTTTAGATTGCTGTTTAAATGAAACGTTAAGTTAGTAATAAAATAAATATTTTTCTTGATATTAAAATTGGTTTTGTTCGTAGTATCGATCGATACTTATTTTTATTCCGAATGAATTTGAAATATTAACAAATTGCTTATCAATTGAATTATTCAATAAAAATATTTCTCTCATCGTCATGTTAAATATATATATATAAATATATTTTAATAATTATTTTCTGTGGTTAATGCATTAACACCGAAGAAATTGAATCGACCGTTGATCAACGATACGTTTTGACGAAAATTTATATTATCTCATTATCTACGTGCGTTTGACGTTCAAACGAATGCTATTTGTTGTTAGGTATTAATAATAAACAACACGACAAATGAAATATTTATAATCGGGGTTATGCTTTCGGTCAATCATCACTACGACTGATTGCTGCATATATCTACGTCAAATTTTCTCTGTGATTAATATAGGATGTCAATAGGTATTTTAGGTACTTGGAGTACGCTAATCAACTGATAATCGATTCGTTCAATATCACGTAGTTCGAAGGATCAATTCCTTAAAAATCACATGGAAATGATCGATCGATCATCGAGTTAAAAATATACATATTGTACAAACATTCGAATAGATATGTTTGAAAGAAAGGGGAAGATTGCAATAGTCCCATCACCATATTGTATGCTTGTTCATCTTATTTTTGTTTAATAAGAAAGAAGAGGAAACGGACGTGTCGACTAGCCACAACAGAATTTTCTCCCCTATTTTTTTCCCCATGACATAAGAAGAAAGCACTTCATTAATATACGGTGGTATCCTACTCGTACGTGTTCGCTTAGGTGTCATACAGTAGCTTGAAAGAAAGAGAAAGAAAGATATAAAGATTTGAAAGAAAAAAAGATAGAGAAGAGAAGAGAAGAGAAGAGAAGAGTACAGTGTGAGATGGTAGTGGTAGTGGTAGTGGGAGACGACGGGATACAGGGGATGATGGTGACGGTTTCGAGTGGTAGGTGGAGGTTTCAAATAGAGGGGGTAGTTTTCACCGGTGGAAGGTGGTGGAACTGAGAGAGAGAGAAAGGGACAGAGTATATGGCGGTGGGGTTGAATACCCGGTGTGGGATCTAGTCGGATGCCGGATTCGTAGTGGAAACTTCAGTACGCGACCAGCCACCGACGTGTGTTTACGGTCGGAGCTCCAGCGGAAGCTGCGAGGGCTGTCTATCTGTCTGTCTGTCTGTCTGTCTGTTTGTCTGATTCTCTCTCCTTTCCTCCCTTCTAACTCTTCTAAATCTTTATTTTTCTCATCGGTGAGAGTAACACCATTTGGTATTACACTTTTTTCACTTGTTTTAATTTTTTTTTTTTTAATTATTAAACGATGTTCAACGATCATTGCATTCATCGTCAATCATCTTCATCATTTTCTATTTTCTATTTGTCTGTACTTTAGTCATGTTTTTTTTTTTTTTAATCTCTTTTTATTTAAATTATAATTGTTATAAGTATCAGATCATTTAAATGTAATAAAAGCAAAAGTACAAAGATTCGATGAGATCGATGAGAATCATGCGAGAGGAACGTTCATCGTCAATGAATTTTTAGTGAAATACTTTGACCAAATATTCTTTCAATCTCTCACATCTGTCACTCTCAACTTTGTTTTTTCTCTCTTTCTCTTTCTTTTTTTTGTCTCGCTTATTATTAGAAAACGTTGAGTTTTGAATAGGGGTGAGATATAGTGAGCGCTCGAACCACGTGGCTTTGGTTCTAAGTTAGTGCGTTATTGAAACGAATTCAAATCATCCCTCTTTCCTTTCGTCTGCTTCATGATTTTATTTTCATTTTTTTTTTTTTTTAATGATGATAATCACACTTGACTATACTCGTGACGTGTGAAAACTTTTGTTTTTTTTTGTTATTGTCGAAAAAAAAGGGGGCAAGGATTTACGTTCATTAATTTTTCTATCCATCGTGTACGATTTAATCGACATTTCGGTGGTGTTCGTCGAATATTCCGTTGTACGATTATCGAAAATGGATCGTCTTTTTTTTCTTTTCTTTTCTTTCGGGGGGGAGGGGACAAAAAAAATTCATGTGATTAATGGGGTTACAGTGTTTTCATCCAACCCCCTTCCCCCACCCTACGGTATACTTTTTCTTCTCATAGCTTTTTGACCGAACACAATGACACTGTACGAGAGATATCGTTGAACGAGAATAATAGAATCGTCGATTCGTTTTATTTTCTCTTTTCTTTTTATTTATGAAAAACGAGGGAATAAAAAAAAAAAAAGAGAGAGAAAAAAAATGGGAAGTTAGGGAGGGAGGTGGGTGGGCCTCATGATGTGGGTATATGGAAAAAGAAAAAAAAGGAATCTCGTTAATCTCGCGAAGAAAAATGTCGTCTTGGAAAGAATCGCGTTAACGAGGTGCAGTGTAATCGATATCGCGTCGATATTGTTTTTTCTTTTTTTTTTAGAACATTTAAAGGGTCGTCGTGATTCGTATAGCATATTTTATAATATATATATATATATATATCGTATTGGTTGAGAGAAATGAGAGAAAGAAAGAAAGAAAGAGAGAAAGAGAGAGAATTGGGAGTAGTGTAAAAAATAAGGGAAAGAAAAATAATGTATAATAATCGATCTCTCGAAGTATATGATTCAAATTTTGGCGGGATTGGACAATAGGAAAACGTGGGTTTACACGAGAAAGAGAGAGAGAGAATCAAAGGAGGCCGCCCGTGTGTGGAGAAGATTATTCGAAACTTCTTGAATAAGAACGCGAGGAACGCGCCGACGTTACGGGACTTTGTTCGATGGTGGTAGTGTGCACTCTTGGTGGTGGTGATGGTGCTGGTTTGCGGTATAACGCTTAACCGATGTTGGTGAGCCAACGGTATTGCTGGAGAAGTGTAAAAGTGTTAGTGGTAGTATTAGTAAGCTTCTTTGTAATGGTGTATATCATTGATAGTTATAATAACAGTAGTCTTAATTGTATTTATAGTTGTAGTAGTAGTAGTAGTAGTAATATTTGTAGTAGTAGTAGTAGTTTAGTAGTAATAATAATAGTACTAGTAGTAGCAGTAGTAAGAGTCCACGATGCTGTCAGACGAGTTCATGAATGAACGACCACTTCGCTTTCACGCGCGAACGCTAATGGCTGTTCTTTCTAAAGATGATGATCCATCGTAATCTATTGTATCTAAATTAATCGTCGATCATTCATGACATGAATTAGTGTCTATGATGACGTTAAAGACAAAAAAAAATATAACTTATAACGTACCTTATTTTCTTTTTCAAGGTGTTGTTGTTATTACATTTTCTTTTGTTTTTTTTTTTTTTTAACGCTTACTCAGCTTGAACAATTCATTTCAAACACGCGAACATCGAGTTAAGTAGAAAAAACATGAACAATACGTTGGAAATAATAATTATTAAATTTATTAAGTGATTAAATGTAATAATACTGACATATTTTTGTTGTTGTTGTTCTTGCAAATATATCCACAATCGATTTAAAATTAACTTACGTAACGAGAAAAAGTTATAGTCCAGAAATGTCTATATATATATATATATATATATATTCGTATCATCGTTCTCAAGAATGACTGTAATAAATTTTGACGTCTATAATAAAATCACGAGATATAGAATTTATATGCGCATTCGGTTGGACATTCTGCCACGTTCGGAATAATAACGTGCTTTCGTCGTTTTTGGGCATGATCGTAAACTCGCTTTTGGATCATGCACGTTTCACGTTGCATCAGTTACGACGGTGTCGAAACTGCAACGACACGTATATCTCTTTATCGTTTTCCAACCATCTTCATGGAATAGGATCGTTGAGATAGTTTCTGAACTATTCCAATGAGGTTGCGTTAAGATATCTAAGGTGAGAAGATAAAAAGAAAGATGTGTAATATTAATCAACCAATTTAAATATCCGATTAGGTTTATCCATATAACAAATATGGACATATTTCTGATAATAAGATGAATCATTTGATGAACGATCGCATTGGCTAGCAAAGGGGCGACGATTTTAGATGTTAAATCTGAGTTAATATAGCAAGGCATTATGGTAATAATGACGAATGGCCCAATTAACCGTTGTACCTAGTTAATTCCGTTTTATGGCAGCCCATCGTTCTTCGCTTTTAACGATCGCATAATAGTAATATAGCGATAAGTTATGTCATTTTGAAAAGCACCACGATTCCGCAGACCGTTAATAACATAATCTCGACAGTTATGTTCTAAATTCGTTATTAGAAACATTAGGGGATCTGAAGAATACGACAGGTTTGTTCAAAAACATGTCAAACATCGGTGAAAACAAGTTTTTCAATATGGTTCATGCTTTTAATCAAATCTGACATATTATATTCATCAACTTTGAACTTTTTTCTACTTGTTTATTCTAGTTTCTGGTATACAGAAGCCCCGGATACCGATTGACACCACCCAAACTCTAACTATTCTTTCATCTTCTTTTCTTAACATCCCTATCCCCTTACTTTCCTTCCAATTCCCTCTGTTACTCCTGTTCGTTACACAAATTTCTAACTGACAAAGAAAGACCGAACAAAAGTTTTTTTCGAGCCCTACTCGAAACAATGGCCTTCCACTTGCCTTTTTGGAAATATTTCCACTTATTCACCCTCGTCACACGGTACCCGTCCTTATTTTTTTTCCCCCTTTCTCTTTTTAACCCTCTGCCAATGCGTTGAAAGTACTGGCTTGAAGAAGGGAATTTATCTCTCTCTCTCTCTTTCTTTCTACTTGTGTCTCTAAACCCACCCATGTTCCTTTCTATCTCCCACTTTCCTTCTGAGAGAGTTCATCTCGATCGAATGTATACTCGAGTGGTACTCTCACTGCTGTTGGATGACGTCGATGAGAAAAAAGAAAGAAAAGAGAATAACACCCACATCCTGGGTGATCTTCAGGTATCACCTGAGTGCACCTGTACCATCATTTTTTCTCTCTCTCTCTCTTATTCTTTCTTTTATTTTCTTTGAATACATACGTTTGACAGAAGAAAATGTCATTCCACAAGCTTATTAGAAATTTTTTCGTTTGAAATATCAACTTAATTGATGATGCTGTGACCTTCCACCGCAGAGAGAGAGAGAGAGAGAGAGAGAGAGAGAGAGACGAATGAATAAATAGATAGAGTGTGGTAAAAGGTAGAAAGAGATAAGAGATAAACAAAGACAGAGAGAATGTCTCTCCATTATCGTAATTAATACCATTAAAATTAACGCGTTGAGGGAGGGTTGGTAAGTTCATGGAAACGAGCTTGAATTCCTTTTACAGCACTTTTATCATATCTAAGCGGCTTTTTCTACCTGTATATATATATACTTTTGTGTATATTTATATATACTTTGTTCTGTGTAGAAAAAAAAAGTTACATTTTTTTTTTTGGGTCTACGCAGGGATGTTTTGTTTTGTTTGTTGTCTCGTTTTATTTTTTCTTTTTCATCGTTCATCGTCAATGATGGATTTTTTTTTTACGATTCCAAAATATAAGAACCGTTTTTAGTTGAAAAGATTACTGTTCCTCTTTCACGAGTTTAAGATGAGATTAATTTGACGATTTTAAGTGTTTCGTCCCTCCCCCTCTCTCTATTTCCTCCCCTTTCTTTTTGTAAATGTAATATATATATATATATATATATATATAGATATATACACTTCATTTCTCGTCATTTCAATTGTCTACCTTTTTTTCTCGATATTCATGCGCAATGAAAGAATGAACACAGGTACGGTGTTTTGTAGTTGTCGTTAAAAAAAAAAAATAACTTGACAAAAAAAGAGAAAGAGAGAGAGAGAGAAAAGAAACATTCCATTTGCAGCATAGTAATCTACCTAGCTGAGAAAAAAAAAATAGGTAGAGAGACTTGTCACGAGAAAAACCTTTTCACGTGGATTGAATAACGTTAAAATCCATGGAACCAAAGACTTTTAACGTTTACATCATAGGAAATGAAAGTTCCTTATAAACAAAGCTTTTCTCATGGATTATTCGCGAATATATTATTAATTTTTCAACACGTCTTTTCACTTATTTATTTTCCATAATAATAATTATTATTCAGAAATAAATTCTCAATAAAATTCTATGTAAATTTCATGAATCTTATTATCGATTGAAAAAGGAATTCAATTATTGCAATATGCCATGAATCAAAAGTATGGTTTATTCTCATAGAAAGGGTTGATTTGTTTGATTTTATTTATTTAATTATTATTAATTAAAAGAAAACTGTACTAGAACATTTTATATTTTATATTAAATTTGTTAGAAATTTTGTCAAAAAGAAATCTTTGTTTCTATCGATCATTATGGCTGATCATATATACTGGTTATTCACTGAAACATATCTCGTCAAATTATATTTTCCCTTTTATACATCGAATTTAGATCTAGGACGTTGAATATGGTAAGGGTGTTAGTTTCATTACACAAATACGTAGATATTTGTATGCATATATATAGGAGTAACTACATATACTTTGATTATAGTAGTACATACATAAAGTTACATGTGAGTCTTATCAGGAGAGTAATAAAATGAATTTCATTAAATTGCATACATTTAACGATATACCTTATTTTAATATGGTCTAATGTACTAAATAAATTTGTAAATGCATATTCACGTGTATATAACATATACATGTATAATGTTTTTGTACAAGTCATTCCCACACAGAGTACGGTTCTTTAATTTAAAGAAATCTCTTAATGTACCTTGGCGTGTAACGTTGACAAAAAAGTAACGGGAGTATTTTAACAAGCGTATAAATTTTGATCTTCGTTTAAACGTAGAGAGACGAGGCTTGTAAAACTCTCGAGTTTCTCTGCTACACTCTCTCTTTTACTTTTAAACACGCGAGTTGCGTCAGGGTTGCGTCAGAATGTACTTATTTGTTCTGTCTGCCTTGAAATGTGACTTACGAGAATACGTTAATTAAAAGTATATTTAAAATGATGTACTGAGCATTGAGGACAAGAAGAGAGAAAGGGAAAGGGAAAGGGAAAGGGAGAGAGTAAGAAAGAGAGAGAGAGAGAGAGAGAGAGTAAGAGAGAAAGAGAAGAAGTCGTCTTTTCTCGAATTATCACAGTTCTCAACTCGTTGAACGTCTTTCCCCAAGTAGAATAATCTCGTTTTAGTCAGACCAGTAGATAACTCGTGCATTTTATAGACACACCCCTTTTATCTTCTATGCATGTACGTATCTTAATAGATAATTCTAACAAAAAAGGAAGATAAGTTAAGATATATATCTTCATCGTTTATCCAATCTATTGGTCATCTTTATTTAGTTTCGAACGACCCAATTATTTCGTGTCCCAGATCAGAAACAACGTACATCAGGAGGCATGGTGGGTAGTACCGCCGGTTGAAGGATTAACGATTCACGAATATCGACGTAGTATATCGTCATACATGCCTGACCTAATACGATGCCACGAATAATAATTCTCCATATTACAAATCCAGGCTATACAATGTTAACTTGTATCTATGTGTACGTGTATGTATGTGTGTCATTATATCGCGTCTACTTTTCATCGGATTATTTCATTTCTATCACAGTGATATCGGCTTTTCGTTTCAAATAGCAGTCTTTGATAAAAGAGAGAGTAGGGGGTGGGGGTGGGGTGGGGTGGCGGAGGAGGAGAGGTTGTGAGATCACATTAAGAAATCCCTTTGATTTCTGAAACTACGGAATTTTTGAAAATGTCAGTAAGAGAGAGAGAGAGAGAGAGAGAGTCAGACAGAATAGACAGACAGACTGACAGACGGAAACAGGAGTCCTATAAAAGCTAATCTTATTTTCTCCGTGAAATTTAATTCTTTTTGTTATCCC